CAGTGGTTAAGAATCCTCCTGCCAATGCAGGAGACATGGGTTTGAGCCCTGGTCCGGGAAGATCCCACATGCCACGGAGCAACTAAGCCCATGAGCCACAACTACTGAGCCTATGCTCTAGAGCCCGTGAGCCACAACTACTGAAGCCCACATGCCTAGAGCCCGTGCTCTGCAACAAGAGAAGCCACCGCACTGAGAAGCTGATGCACTGCAACGAAGAGTAGCCCCCGCTCGCCGCAACTAGAGAAAAGCCCGCGCCCAGCACCGAAGACCCAATGCAGCCCAAAATGAATGAATAAATAAATAAATTTTTTTAAACGTGCATGTTACTTTCCTCTTCTTTTCCAAATTTGGGCATCCTTGCTCAATAGTTCTTTCAGATAAATTGCAAAGTCAGCCATCCATTCTCCAAGCCTTGAATGTGGTACATTTTTCTGATTCACACCAAGATGCCACATAGACAAGGAAAGGCCTCGTAAATGTGTGGTAGGAGAAGGTAGCCTTAAGCAAGAGAGAAAAGACAGAAACCACAAGGGAAGGATTAATGGATCTGACTACATCAAAGTTTTAGATTTCTATTCAATAAAAGACTGCATAGGCAAGGTTAAAATGCAAATAGTGTTTGAGAAGTTCAGAAAAAAAACAGTAATAAATTGTACCTAAATATTTGTGGTTCTTTAAATCTTGCTGTAAATTATATTATCTTTAAAATAGAATGTAATGGTGTGGGTAAAGGATTAATAAAACTTTTCCTCTTCTTGCACAACAATTTGACCTTCAGTTAACTTGCTGTTATCTGTTTCTCTGAAACCTAATAAAGATCGAATGTCAGCTATGCTGTTAAGCAGCCTGACTTATATTAAAGCAATTACCTGATTGTTAGATTGCATCTGGGTTGCCACAACTATAGCTGGTGGGGGAGCATAGCTTTGGGCTTTCCTGAGTGTGAAGACTCTTTAATTGGGCCCGTGGTGAGGTCCCTGGAAGCTATGCCTATGGGGTCTTTACAAGACATACTGGCTCCCGAGGGGGTACCAGACTTCTAAGTCAGGGCAGCTGCCACACTGGTCTGATGTGAATGGTCTTGCCTTGCACCTGAGCTGTCACTTGGCCTCAGGTGGGTTAAGGGGGAGCAGCTATATAGATTTCTGCATAGATTACTGCAAGGACTCCCAGGGAGGTGTAACACCTAATTCTGCCCTGCTCAGAGCTATTGTTCCTGACCTAAATCCTTCCAAATGAATCTGATGTTAAATGTGGCCCATGGTAGTCTTAATGAATCTTGAAGTTTAGTTGTGCCTGAGAAGACTCCTGGTGAATGCTGCACATGGTAATACAAACCGTTTATACTTGGGCTATATAGAAAAGAACTAATTGGATAGAATTGTGTTAGATCATCAATTTGAGATTTATGTAACTACACCTGTGATAAATCTTACTTGGATCACGAGGTAATACATATGTTTCCCTGTTCCGCCATCAGTGGCAGCTGATGCAAATTGCAGGTATGGGGCCAGGGGGTATGCAGCCCTCTGTGCCATGGGTTTAGGATACCAAAATCTACAATGTGATATCAAATACTTCACAAGAAGGGCCAATCTAAGTCTCTTTATCTCACATATTTAAAGCAAGTGATGAGGGACCTGTCTGAGTTTTAGGGGTGGAAGTTTTCCTTGGCCTTAGAGATACCTTTAAATCTCCTGAGCCTGACCTTTGGTGAATCCCATTTCCCCTTTTACAAGCAGATCTAAGTAGGACTACACAAACCTAGTCCCAAACGCTCTTGGCAGTTTTGCCTATCTGTAACTTGATCTAGCCAGTCTTAAGAAAGACATCTATAAAGTTGGTGAGAACATTTGTCTGGATGAAAACTGACTGGGGAGTGATGGGGAGTCAGAATCTCCTCTTTTGATCTCTTATATAAGAAAGAAGGCAGCTCCTCCCCCCATGCCCCCCCCACATACACACTCATGCACATTGTGCGAGTAAAATGATGCTTCTCTCACTGGGAAAACCACTTATTTCCAACGCACATGCACCTTCAAAAAGGGTAAGAAAGACTGTCATCATTCTTTGTGACCATATAGATCATGTAGTAATCATAACACTACTTGGACCCTCTAAAAAGACCACTGTAGGATCAGGGTCTGGCCATTGTTGATTGTGGTATTAGTAGTGGGAAAAAAAAATCCTGTAGATATTTATTCCTCAGAGACAGAATTTATAAGAAGCCAGAAAACTTGGCTCAAGAACTTTAAATTATAATGATAAATCTGTTTGTTTAGGTCAGACCAGGGTATCATTTGAGTTTTCTGTATATTTTATCTTAGTATTTTAAAGTTCACTAGATCAGAGAAAAGCAAAAGTAATATGTTCTTTGTAATACTTTAAATAGTAGAAATATCCATAAAGAAAAATGAACCACTCCCCCATCCCCAATGCCACCTTTTTTTTTTTTTTTTGCGGTACATGGGCCTCTCACTGTTGTGGCTTCTCCCGTTGCGGAGCACAGGCTCCGAACGCACAGGTTCAGCGGCCATGGCTCACGGGCCTAGCTGCTCCGCGGCATGTGGGATCTTCCCAGACTGGGGCACGAACCCGTGTCCCCTGCATCGGCAGGCGGACTCTCAACCACTGCGCCACCAGGGAAGCCCCCCAATGCCACCTTTTTTAGGCAACCAATGACAAAAGTTTAGAGTGTGTCTTTCTACTTTTTTCTCTGTGCTCATGTAAAGACATCGTGCAGAATAGTTTGTTTTAAGTTCATGCTGCATACGTTACCCTACCATTTGCTTTTTATCACTTAACGTGTTATGGACATCTCTGCAAGTTCTTACATATAGATCTAACTCATTATTTTTAATAAGACAATACGCTAAAAGGATTAGCCCTTTCCCTATTGATGGACATTCAAGCTATTTCCATTTATTCTCTTGTTTTAATCACTACAAACAATGCTGCAATAAATATTATTGTACATATAAATCCATACTGGTGCATTTATTTTTGCAGGATAAAATTGTAGAGAACTCTGAGTCAAAGGATATGTGATGTGCACTATTAATATTAATATTTTCCCAAAAGCTTGCAGCAATTTATGCTTCTGCCCTTTCCCCCAATCCTTGTTAGCAATCTTTCAAATTTTTGCCAATCTGTGGATGAAAAATGGTATCTTAACTATTCTCTTCTTTGTTCCCCTCCAATCTATTCTGCATCTGCAGTGATCTTTTAGAAAAACAAATCTTACCACGTCACCTCTCTGCTCAAAACACCTCATTTATTTCCCATCACTCTTAGAGTAATGGCCGACATCTTTGACATGGCCCAAAAGCTCCTTGTGGTCTAATTGTCTGCCTCTCTGGTGGGCTTTTCGCCCAATAGGGCTTCCTCCTGATAGGTCTCAACTCTACTGAGAAATCAAGATGACATATGTTTGTTTACTAGTACAAGCCTCAGAGGGAGCTATGCCTTTTAAAATGTGACTAACATGCCTGAAAGGAATAATTGTTTCTATTTTATTTGCCTTGATGGAAGTGTTTTTCCAACTGCTTCAGGCAGATCATCAGAGTAAACAGGGAAGCATAGGACTTGTCAAAAAAACATGTTAGGGCGACACCTTGGCTCCCGAGGAATAGGCAGAAAGTCTGATTGAAAACGTAGGGGGTTTTTGCTTCTCTTGTTTTTAAGTCAGACTTTTAAAGTAGAAGCTGCCTTTAATGTGCTGGTTTGCAGAACAGGAAATCTGATTTTCAGTGTGATAACACATTCTTTGACATTAACCAGTACAGTTGGATTTTTAATGACACTTTCATCTTCAAAGCCCTTCACCAACACGGTGGATTAATTATTCATTTTTTGGTTGTGTGTTAAAGACAAATCTTCAAAGCCATCATCCTTTCTCCTCGGAACTGGGGCTCTCCACCTTTCAAATGTTGCTTTCTTACCCCCAAGGGAGAAAATAAATTACAACTTTTTTTTTTTAAGACAAAAAGAATACAATAGAAATATACTCTTTACATTATGGAAAGCTGATGTCCTTATATCCTGGGTGGGATCAGAAGAGGTCGGGAAGCAGTGCTTAAGCTGTGTTTACAGTAAGCACTGTGAGAAATAACTCTGGCTAAAAGTGTTTGTTACTGCTCAGTCTTTTGATGTGCTCTTAAAAAGTTGCACAAATACATCACGGCCCCCGTGTTCAACATAATAATATGCAGACCCTTATATTTGTTGCTAAAGTATATTTCTTTGCTGTGCTCTTCAAAAAATGTCTATTGGGTTTTTAAAAGTTTGGTTTTGGAGAAGAAAACCCTCAAGACTTCCCTGGGGTCCTCCTTAACTTGACACATTTTATAACCACAAGGGAGCACTCTTCCCTTTGATGAGGTCTTCTCTCCACCTCTCCAGAAATGAAAGAGCAAGTGTAAGTTTGCAAACAGCCTAAAAGCTCTTTCCATTAGCCCTGGACGCCGGAAACCACAAAGGGCAGTCAAGTCTTGATTTTCAAGGAGAAAGCCTCTGGTAAACTTTCTCTCAGCCGCCAGGAGATCTGTTGGTTCCTGGGAGGAGTCCTTCTGAAACCTTGACGATTCCTATGTTCATGAAGACACAGAGCGGTGGATTACAGTAATTGAAAAGCTTTGGTGGCTTTGGAAGATTACTGTATGTTTGGTGTGCGCTCACATTTCCAGGCTAGGGGACCCAGTAGAGGAACCCCTTTTGTTATCTTTTGAAATAAGATCAGAAGGGAAGACGGGATTTGAAGTGTGGATTGGGCGGGGGGTCGCCTAAATCTTTGCCTATCACCTCCGCCTGGATCATTATAAAAAGATCGAGGAGTACAATGAACTTAGGGAATCATGCAACGTTTCCGTGAAGCCTGTTCTGGAACCTAGCTTCCGGATCCAGAAACTTCTCCAGAAGCAGACCAGCAGTGCTAGGCAGTCTGAATGGACCAGCATCTCCGCTTTGAAGATTTATTTTCAGTCTTCTGCTGAGAGATTCACCTCTGGGTGATTGGTTCGCTTTTCGGCGGATGATGGAGAAACGTAAACAGGCCGAACTGCTGACCCTGCCGTACCACTTGCTCCCGGGGCCCATGGGCGTGCCTGGGTCCCTGACCCGCCTTCCCCTGCGGGACCCCTTCAGGGTCTCCTTGCGTCTGGACGCCGCGTGCTGGGAGCGGGAGCGGGGCGGCTGCGCCCCGCGGCGGCCGTACTTGCCCCCGCCGCTGGACGGCACCTTCGAGCCCGCCTTCCTCCGCAAGCGCAACGAACGCGAGCGGCAGCGGGTGCGCTGCGTGAACGAGGGCTACGCGCGCCTCCGAGCTCACCTGCCCCGCGAGCTGGCGGACAAGCGCCTCAGCAAAGTGGAGACGCTCCGCGCCGCCATCCGTTACATCAAGCACCTCCAGGAGCTGCTGGAGCGCCACGCGCGGGGTCAGGAGGGCGCGGCCGGCGCCGGCCCCTCGATCAGGGCCGAATGCAACAGCGACGGCGAGTCCAAGGCCTCGTCGGCGCCTTCGCCCAGCAGCGAGCCCGAGGAGGGGGCCTGTTAGCGAGCGCTGGGCCGGCCCGGACCCCTCCCTCTGCGCCGCGCGCTTTTGGAGTCTGCTCTAAGGTTCCCTCCGGAGGTGGTTTGCATTTGCAATCTGTTTTTTTTTTTTCTTTTCTTTTCTCCAGAACTAAATCTTAGGAAAAAGAAATGAGTGCTTTAGGGGGAAAAAAAGATTTTGACATTCTAGTTGTTTCCACCCCCTCCACCCCCCTATTGGTTATGTGCCTGCAACTGAAAGATGCTTATGAAACTCTTCCTGTGCTTCTCAAAGACAAACTGTACCAGACTCTGAACTCCTCAAAGGGCGAAAACAACGAGGATTTGCCACAGTCAGCGGGGTGGGTAAATTAGGGACGTAAATACTGAAACAAATCCAATCTTAACCAAAGAAGAACTTTCCAAAACTAGCTAACTAAATAACAGCCCTTAAGATGAGCGGAAGGTTTTTCCTGCGTTCCTTCATTTGGGAATTGATGAGAAATGTAATTGACACCGTGCTTTGGAGGAAGGTGGCCCTAAGCTGACACCGGGGAACACGTTTGCCAGAGCGCGCGGCCAGGCCAGCCTGTGCTGTTGACTAAGCGTGTGGATGGCGGTGCTAGAAAGGACATTCCATATTGGAAACATCCTGTTTTATCAAAAGAGGGGTCGTGTGGGAGCTTCATAGCATCTAGCAGATAGTAACGTGTCAGTGGCAATGATCTTTCTGGAAGAGAACTCAGAATTGTATGAAAACTTACTTTTCCTCTCAGGTGTCTTGTGCGACGTGTTTTCATTTTCCTTCTCTTTGCACCCCTCTCCTCCACCCCCTTGTTCTCACTCCATCTAACTTTCGGTTAAAGTGATACTGTGGCCTTAAAAAAAAAAAAAAAAAAAAAGGAAACGCTTAGATGGTTGAAAGGGAGGGATTGACGTTGGGACATTCTCATACTTTTATCACCTTGAGGGCTTCCAGCTATACTGAAATTGCCTAGTGACTCTGGAAGTCTTTTAAAAATATTTAATTCTGGTCTTTTATTTTTTCCTGAGAAACAATTATAAATTCATTAGGTAAGTCAAATGCTTGTTGACATATAAAGATAAACTTCTTATCTCTAAAGTCTTCTAATATGCTGACTGTCCCTTTCCCTGGAGACAGCTTTGCTCTGGGGGTGAGGGGGCTTGGGGGTGCCGGGAAGGGGACCAGGAGAGAAAACTAACAGTGCTGAGCCCTTTCTAGGTATTGTTTCATTAAGTGCCACACTGAGGTAGGTTTTATTACCCCCTTTCTGCAGATGTGTGAACAGAGGGAAGCAAATAAACAATAAACATCTTTTATGTGCCAGAAATTTTGTGGTGTAGTTTTCACATTTTGTCCTGTTTATTCTCATAAATCTGTGAAGTGAGTATTATACATGTTTGTAGTTAAAAAAAAAAAAAAAAGGCTGGGAGAGGTTACATGCCTTGCCCAGGTTAGTGTTGCTAGAATTAGGTGAGCTGAGATCCAGTCCTAAGTCTGCCTGACCCTGAAGCCCAGACTTGCTTTCTGCCTGACTGAGCTCTCCCTTGCCCTGTCATTTGCTAGCTAGGTGACCAGCAAATGCCTCTTAACCTCTCTGCAACTCCGGTTCCTCCTCCTCCTTCCACTGCTTCACAGAAGCATAGGTTACAGACCTTGGTCATCTGCAAGCTACAATCCAATGATTAAGTTAGTTGCGTTAGTGTTTGGAGGAGGTACTATATTATTCATTAGCTCTACGGAGAGTAAAGCCTGGTTGAAAATGATGTCCAGATGGAGTGAGTGTGATTTCTTCAGTGTTCAGAAGGATGGAGTAAACCACACTTTATTAGGGTTCTGTCTTCTATTGTAAGGTTCTAGGGGACATGACTGGTGGAATGCTGAATCCATGTTGAAATGTATTACTACTAATATTTATGACGATGAATTATTATGGGATTCTGTTGTTTCTGACTGCTCAGATAAATGCTGTGCAATGATTTACTACCAAACTACTTTTTCTTTAGAAGCAGGCAGAGCTCTGTGGTTTGAATGAGCAAGATGGAACAGCTATTTTCTCTTACCCATTACTTAGTTACATTCTGACAAACTTCTATAATGTATCCATTTTTTCTCCAGGCTGGTTCTTATTCCAGTGCCGGTTTCAGTGAAGCAAGTATAAGTAAGATATATTTGCTAATTAGGGGGAAAAAGAAAAGAAAAAGGGAAAGCACTCATGTTACCTCCTGGCTGTGTTGGAGAAGAGGCTAATTAATCAAGTTGTTAATTGGAGAACCTTGAGAGACTTTTTTAGGGGTATTCGTTGGACGGTAATAACACTCTTTATTCCTTTTTTCTGCTCCAGCTAATGGGTGAGAACCTTGACATTCTCTTTTCTAAAGTAGGAATAATAGTAAAATAGTATATTTTGTTTAATCTATACAGGTTATGTGGTTGCTTTTAATGCAGGAAGAAAGAAAGAAAGATTTCTTCATTTGCTTCTTCAAAATATGTGTATAAAATGTGTGAATAAGTATAATATACTTGGCTGACATGAGTGGTTTATAAAGAGAAGGACAAAGGCAGTTTTAAAAGAGAACTTTTTTTCTGGATAAAATTTATTGAGAGACTTCTAATGAGACTTTTGTTTAAAGTCCTATTGAAAAAAAAATTTTTAATTAAAAAAAATAAGTCCCATTGAGAATAAAGCAATGATTTTGAGAAGCCTTTTGGGAAAAAAAAGTCCTATCTCAATCATATCTTTTTTTAGAGAAAAAACAAAATCAGGCCGTTTTTCTGGAACTTTCCTAATGGCTTACAGGAGGAGCACCAATCCAGGAATGAGACCTTTTAAAATGTTGTCTTCCCTTTTTCTGTGACTGAACACTTAATTAACCATAGAACAATTTGACTCTCGGGAACTCCCTGGCTGTCCGGTGGTTAGGATTCCATGCTTTCACTGCCGAGGGCTCAGGTTTATTCAGGGAACTAGGATCCCGCAGGCCGCGTAGGATTAATGGAGTGGAGAGGAGTTTTATGGAAATGATGCATTCATGAAAGGAGAAACATTGCAAGTCCTTCAAGATCTTCCCTATTTCTTTGGATACTCAGCCCAGACATATCCATTGATTACATTGTATTGCTTTTAGAATATTCATAACACTGATTAATAACTGTGACACCTTACCCCCATCCCTTGGGCGCAAAGAAGGAGGGGCTGTAGAGGGGTGTGGGAGAGTGTGCCCTCGGGCTGGGCTTGGCCTTTCACTGATCTGGTGACCTTGGGCGAGTCCCTAACTTTAGTGATCTCAGTTCCCTATGCTAGGGCACGTGAAGATTGGACTGCATGATCTTTTAGGCCTTCCAGCTAGAACATGCCATTCTTCTGACATGTGCAAAGTCCTAGACTAGGGGAAACAAATGGCGGTAAGACATGCCCACTTCCTGCCACACAGTGCAGTGGCTCTATGCTTCTGTATCATCTCCCTGCAGTCCCAGAGCTGCAGTTTACACTTTGAGTCTAGTTGCTGTTACAATGCTTAATTAAAAAAAAACCCACAAACTTCATAATCTTTTGTGGAGTGGACTTTGAAGAATCTTACAGTCTGGAGGAAAAATGAACCCATTTCACCTCAATAAGAGGTAAAAAGGTGAAAGTGTTACAACTGGGGTCCAAAGTGAAAAATGCTATGAGGATACAGAGAAAAGAGGGATTTGTTCTAACTTCAGGTGAGCAGAGGACTCGGAGGGAAGGCTTTGGGGGATATAGCATTGGGCAGGTGAAAATGGAATGAGAATTACAGGCAGAGAATCCAAGGGGAACAATTACAGGCAAAGCATCTAGCGGGGAATCGACTGGATTCCTACCTAGAAGCAAGGAACTGTGTTTGGAGAACAGAAGCCAAGTAATAGGAGATTAGAAATGATGGCTGAGACTAGGTTCTAGGAGGCATTGAAAGCCTGGCTAAAATAACTTGAACTTTATTTTTAAGACAGTGGGGAACTATTGAAAAAATTGTTTTTTTTTGGCTTGCAGAGCGGGTGAACTGTTCATCGCTGTGGCTGAGGATCACTCTGGTGGCAGGAAGCAGCAAACTGATGGGGTATTGCAATAACGAAGGAAGAGGAAGTGAGGGCTTAAATGAAGGCAGTGGCGGTGGGGATGGGAACGAAGGGATGGATGGATGAGGAGGTGATGTGGGAGTAGCACTAATAGGTCTTGGCTACTCAGAGGATGGGGCTGGGGACGAAGAAGAGGAAGAAGTTAGAGACAATGCTAGTGAGTTTCCACTAACTGAAGCTGGGAATGCAGAAAGAAAAGCAGATTGAAAAGGTACCTGTCTTGATTTGGAGATGCTGGGTTTAAAATATTAGTAGGTTACTCCTGCCCACAAGCAGTTGGAAATGCTGACAATGTGGTCAGGAGGGAAGTCAAGGACAGTTGTAGATTGAGAGGCATAAACACACAGGCAGCAGTAGGAGTAGATGAGATCTCCCAGGGAGAGAAGAAAGCCGGGCAGGCCTACACTGAAGGAGTGGCAGAAGAAAAAATGTCTTTGAAGAGGACTGAGAAGTTGGAAGGAGAACCAGGCTGGTGTGAGATCATGGCAATTAAATGAAGATTTCATTTTGTAAGAAGGAGGCAGTGGACAGCATCAAGTGAGTCAGAGATGTCAGGGAGTTTAAGGGTGAGAGGGATGCATTGGATTTAGCCATTGAAAGATCACTAGAGGGACTTCCCTGGTGGCTCAGTGGTTAAGAATTCTCCTGCCAACGCAGGAGACACAGGTTCAAGCCCTGGTCCGGGAAGATCCCACATGCCGTGGAGCAAATAAGCCCACGAGCCACGACTACTGAGCCTGCACTCTAGAGCCTGCGAGCCACAACTACTGAGCCTACACGCCGAAGAGCCCGTGCTCCGCAACAAGAGAAGCCACCGCAATGAGAAGCCCGCGCACCACAA